GCCTTTGCTGTTCTCCTTTATCCTTATATCTCGAGGTTTGGAAAGAGATTCATGGCTAAGGAAGCTTGTCACCTTTGTATTTTAGCTATACAAGCATACGTATTGGTGTGCATCAAAGGGAACAAGGTTTAGAAGCAAGAACACAAGAGGTATGTAGGGTTTTCGTTTCGTTTTCAGCATGATTTGGTTTAGCTATGTTCTACCCTTTCTTCTTGATCTTTTTAAGTATTTTTCAAGGGAAATATCAGCGTGTATTGTATCCTTGTATATTATTCAATTTCATATGTGAATTATGAAAGAAAATAGTTTAGGTTGGAACTTCAAAACACAACAAAAACAAACGGGCAAATCGCCAATTTGGCCTATGCCATCCAGACTTCTGTTTGTTCTGCTTAATTGTCATGTTTTGATACTTAGATTATTTCTAAATCATATTTAGACTTTTATGTCACAAGTTAGCCACTACGAGTCAACATTACATTCACAATTCCTTTTTGTCGATCGTTTGACACTTCCGTGAATAACTAGATCTCCTTTAGTTTGATATTATCATCTTGGTCGGGTATCCATTCCCGTGTATATTGTGGTGCTTGCTGTTGTTTTTGGGGATCATCCAATTTTAAGGGAAACTCTGATAAAATTTTTGAAAATTCGAAGAGTGAGACAAATCTTGAGTTCCTTGGTTCTAAATTGATTATAGAGGGATCCTAATGAGTTAATTAACCTTAGAATCTCATGTACATACTTAGTTTTTCCCTAAAATGAGGATAGACTCCTCCGTCCAACTTATTGATGGCGAGCGTCAGATTACATTTGCGATTCTGTTTATGGTTTCCTTCATGATCTCTTGAGTCCATATGATGTTACCACATGTGTTATGCCTCATACATGCTTACATTCATTATGCTGGGGGAAATAGCCCATAACACCGGCGAGGACTATTGAATATATGCTGGGGAAGATAGCCCATAACGCCAGCGAGGCCTATTGATTATTTTCTAGGGGAAGATAACCCATAACACCAGTCGAGCCTGTTGATTATATATTTATCTGATGGGGGAATATAGCCCATAACACCAGTCATGCATGTTATATACGCGTATATAGCTACGGTTTGCATTACATGATTATACATGAGGCTAGTTTAGTTTTACAGTTACCTGATTTGGGGGGATATAGCCCATAACACCAGCCAAGTACCAGTTCAGATTGTTGTTCAGTTTTAGCAGAGTTTCAGCTTAAACTTCGGTTCAGTTCGAGATTAGTTGCTAGTTTAGACTCTTGTTTAGCTTTGAGCTTATATTCAGATTTTCATCTTACATTCATACTTTAGTATGCTTTACATATGCTTTCCACCCTACATACTTTATACATATCGTACTCACGTCCCTTTTTTTTCTGGAGACGTTGCGTTTCATGCCACACAGGTACAGATAGATCAGTGCTTGAGCCACATCAGTAGGCCATCCACCAGTTATTGGAGTCACTCCGCTTACTCCTGGAGTTACTTATCTTTTGGTATGTGTACAGTCAGCTAGTTTGGATATGGCGAGGCCTTGTTCCGTCCAGTACTTTTTCAGTTCAGCACTCCTAGAGGTCTATAGATATGCACTTGTGCAGCTAGTATGTTTCTATATATCAGCTTGTGTTAGCCCTGTCACCTTTTCAGATTGTACAATTCTTATCAGCTATGCTTATGCTTGTTCAGTTTATCCATTTATATTCTTGATTAGTATATTATCAGCAAGTTTAGTGATGATCGACACTTAGTGTCGGTTATCCGTCGTGGCCCTAGGCTGAGTCATGACAAGTATTTTATAAAATAAGTCATTTATAAAGTTAATTTAGTATGTAAGTTTTTGGTATGAACATTAATTGATACTATGGTAAAAGTGATAATTAAACCATTATAACAAGTTAAACTACATTTTAAATTTCTAATACTGTTTGTTCACCTAATTTAAATCCAATTGCGAATGACTTTTAGGTTGGAAGTTGATGCAATCCACATTACTGGTTCACTCTTGTCTTTTGTTGTGTTGTGTGCGTCCGTGAGAAGCTAAGGGTTGTCCTTAGTTTTTATTTTTTTCCTTCTTTCAAGAAAAACTTGAAGGCATTATTCCTAGGGAATCTCTCTCTATATATATAGTGGTCCCTTTTAAACTTTATTCATTCCCTATCCGTGACCTAACGAATCTAACTTTTCTACTACACAAAAAGAGAAGGTCGTTAATTGGTTGAATATATCGATGTCTCCTCAGCATATTAAAAGCGCAAGCAAATTGTATTATCTTCTGTCTTCTTTAGGAGTAATGGTTTCATTTAAGAATGTTCTTTTTCGAGTTTTTGCTTTTCTATAGCTTAATTCAGGAAAAAGAAATATTTAAGGTACGTACCTCGCACAAATTAATGCGATGTATTGTTAAGTAATTTCGTTACTTTCGTCAATAGTGGTACCTTTCAGCACTTTGACCAAAAACCAGCTCTTTCCCAAAGTCCTAACTAAGCACGTGACCATACTTTACAAGGTGTGCTTGGTAAATTACTCATTTGTCCTTGATACTTATTGTGCTTCTTATGAAGGTCTTATGTGTAATTAAGAGGCAACCCTAAGCCCACAGATATATTTAATCGCTTCCAAAAATAATATCAAAAAAATCTTTTTGTATATATATATATATATATATATATATATATATATTAGTATATTTTATATACTTTTTTGACTAACTATCCTCCAACCTATTTATATTTTGCCCAAATAAGAGTAATACTAAAATGTGACAAACTAATTAAAAAGAAAATAGTTTCGCATGAATATATAATTCCTATTTTTTACCTTGTATCTTTTCAACGATCAAATACTCCTATAAGGAAATTAGAGATAAATAAAAGAATTCAACATAGTATTAAAAACCTAATGCAGATAAGATTCACAATTTTCTACTTTTTCTTCTTCTTCCTAAAAACCACCTCTGTATCCAACCCAAATCCATCAATGCGCCTCCCCTCAATCAGCTCAGACATCTTGAACAATTCCTTAAGTGGCTCCACACTGTACAAATCATTAGCCGAATACTTATCAGCCCGTCTAGATAACGACACGTGTAACACGCAAATCCCCCCGGGCTTCAACGTCCGTTCGATCTCCCCTACAAACTTCCACGGATAAAGCGCATGATCAAACACATTTGAAAACTCCAAATCAAAAGTCTGATCATCAAACGGCTGATGATGAAAGTCACCTTTAATCACTAAGGGAGGATAAGGTACCAGATCAATGCCAACTGAATCGTTAACTCCGACCCGTTTTAGTGCCGCCACTTCCTGCCCGACCCGTGCACCAACACAAAGAGCTTTTGAATTATTAGATAAGAAACCTCGAAGCTTTAAATCTTCGAAGAATTCAGAGAAGACCCGGACTTTACGATCCCAATCCCGGGTTGTCCAGATTTGTCGGAGTTTCGGGTTAAGGGTCTTATTGAGCTGGCGCTCGATGTATGCATCGTAGGAGGAATAACCGGGTCGGATTCGGAGGTCCGGTGGGAGATTAGCGGTGGTGGGTTTTTGGAGAGAGTGACGTGGAGTTTGTAAACAGAGGAAGGCTAAGAAGGATAGAGAGAGAAAGAGGGAAAGGATGAAAGGCTTGAGGGCCAGAGGCAGTTTCTGAATATTTATCTTCATGCTTACATGATATGGAGAATGGATATATCTACACGTAAAATATTGGGTTTCTTATTTTGAAATTTGAACAGAAAGTTTGTTATGGAAAATTGAGGGGTGTCGAGGGAGGAGGATTGCGTGAAATAATAAGAAAAGCATAGAATTATAGAAATAAGGTGCTTTACATATGAAGCGGGTTTTTAAAAAGAAATACTCCTATATATTTGAGGCGCCCAAACAAAATGTATATATCTGTATTATAAACATATAATATACAACTTTTAGCCGCCCACTCAGTCACATAAACTAAAGATAGCTGGCAGACGTATAACATCAGTATAATTTATATTAATATGTGTATAATCATGTATAATCAATGTATAATATATGTATATAACTATTTGTGTAAATATTCCTTTTTTTTACCTGATATTTGTATATCACTTTGGAATCTGACTAATTCGACTTTGAGCTGCATAAGACACGTTAAAAGATAAAACACTCCTTGAATCGGGATATACAACCCAGTCTTAGTAGTAAGTAGATCTTTTTTTTTCTCCACCAAAGTAAGTAGAGCTTATATACTATAAAATCTTTATTCGTCATTAGGTGTTCGATTTTATTTGAACAAAAAATTTTAACGTAAGAGATTCGAATTGTATATATCTGTATACAAGCAGCTAAATAATCTTAACTTAATTTGAAGAATTCTGAACATAAGTGGCAAGATAATATCTTTAGGATAAATGGGACATCTAGAAAGTTATTGAAAGCTGGGAAGCAAGCTTTCCCAAAATTTTGAGTCGGATGATATCTCTTTTTTTCTTTTCGAGACAAATCGCCTGTAAACTAGCCATGGTTTTCTAACACTATTTTCTTTTATATGCTAAATCATCATGATTTCAGCGTTCGTAACTTAAAATTTGACATTCAAAATGTGCTTGCAGCTGCAGATGCTCATACAATTTTACTTCTAATATCTCCATGAAGTATCAAGTATCAACAAGCAAATGGCATTAAGAGAGTAAACAATGTAGAATTGACCAAAAATTGATTAAACTTCAGGAAATGCAGGATTATTGTTAATTATCTGTACTAACACCCTTATGGAAGACTATAAGGGTAATGCAGTATGCGTTAGATGAACACATGACAGGCCTAATTTTTACATCAACAAATATCCATCATACAAGAAACTTGAAAGAAAGAGTTATTAGGAAGGACTGGACAGTCCGTGTCCATCCACCAGTACCAACAAAACGGCACGAGCTACTTAGAGAATGCATCAACGAACAACAAGCAGAGATGTAACAAGCTAATGTATATGATCTACTCATTTAAGATGCATCATCAGATAACCCAAAGGACGGTAACAGCCAGCTTCTTTCCTTGGCATGCTCCACATAAAACGTGAATTTATCCTTTGCATTCGGAATGTCAAGAGCCAGATCATCAAGTCCATCCTTGATCCTCCCAAAGCCTTTAGTTATCTGGTTGATGGTGATAAGCCCCTCGTTAAAGCACTCTTGCAGCAAATCCAGCATCCTATCATTCTTCTTCTCCATTGCCATAACCAAAGCTTTCTTCACTACCTCATGGTTGAAGAATGGCATTCCAAGATCTCGTATGCACTGGCAAGCTTCGCTGAGAACACCACTACTTTCAAATTCCTCAAGGAGCTTTTGTATCTTATCCTTAGCATCCTCCACAGCCCATCCAGTCCCACCACCCCAACACCTTAGGATCCTTTCTCCAGCATGCCGAGCAGACAGAAGTGATTGAGCCGTACAGACGGTCTCCAATCCACTGCTGCAATTTGGTGGCAGCCTGTTCGATATCTCTTCCAAATTCAGTGGAGCAAGGACATCATCTATTACGGTCCTAGCAAGGAAAAGAGCGAGTTCATTGGAAGCATCTAAAATGTCAAGAGCTGTATCTTCTGCAGATTCCAGTAGCAACACAAATCCATTTACTATGTCTTCAGTTGAAAAAATCTCAATATGAAGTGCAGAAAGCAAAACAGATGCCATTTCCTTTTCCTTGTTTTTCCTGTCCATGGCAAGGGTGATTAGCTTCTTCAGAAAAATGGGGTTGAACTCAGGTTGCCCCAAATCTTCAAGACTCCGGATTAGCTCCGGAATGTCATCCGAAAAAAAATACTCATGGATTATGCTAACAATATGTTTCTTGTATTGCTTCATTTTTTCATCATCCGGACCATTTGCTTGCCCATTTTCCTCTGAGGTTTTCAGAAAAGATGCATCAAGCCACCCCTCGGAGATTGCCTGAGGAACAATTGACTGGAACAATGTTT